TCGGCCCCAGGATCAGGGTAGCCGTAAAGCCATGGATGGCTGGGTAGACCTTTGTGCTGATCCACCAGCCTCTAGCGAGCAGGCTTCTCGAGGAGGGTGGACAGAAATGGAGGAGAAATTCCTAATCCCGAGCCTTCGTCGGGTTGACCATGCCGCCCACGCTGTTGCCCCTCCGTTTTTCATCAACTTTTTTTGCGCCTCCATTTGGCGCCCATTTTGCGCTGATTTTTTGAATTTCCCGGAAAAAGGGTTGCGCGCTCATTTTCCCTGTAAATTACAAAATGAACGCGCAGCCCTGGGCACCCGTTTTGCACTGATTTTAATTTCCGGGGTAAAAGGGCATTGATTGTTTTTTGCCCCTCGATTTGGCGCCCCTTTTGCATTCATTTTTCGCTTGTTTTTGAATTTCCCGGGAAAAAGGGCTGCGCGTTCATTTTCCCTGTAAATTACGAGGAAAATCAATGCGCAGCCCTGGCCATTTTGCGCTGATTTTTGAATTTCACGGGAAACAGGGCTGCGCGTTCGTTTTTCCCTGTTATTTACAGGGAAAATGAACGCGCAGCCTTTTTTCCAGGGAAATTCAAAAACAAGCGAAAAATGAATGCAAAATGGGCTCCAAATCGAGGGGAAAAACAATCAATGCCCCTTTTCCGGGAAATTCAAAAATCAGCGCAAAATGGGTGCCCAGGGCTGCGCGTTCATTTTGTAATTTACAGGGAAAATCAGCGCGCAACCCTTTTTCCGGGAAATTCAAAAATTCAGCGCAAAACGGGCGCAAAATGGGCACCAGATGGACGGGCAAAAAAATTGGATGAAAGATGGAAGGGCAACAGCGTGGGCGGCAGATGAGCACCGGAAACTCCGTGCCAAATTGGCGCCCAAAAATCGTTGCCGGGAGGGTGAGGGCAGAGGAAGGGGGCAGCTACTCAGCCGCCTAGGCATGGCGTCTGAGCTTACTTGTGCCTCTGCAGTATCAAAAAAACATTAGGTAGGAGGAGGCCTGCCGACTCACCCGAGGTCACTCTTGGATGAGCACTCATTCCTGAAGGTTACCAAAAATGAATGTTTACTTGCAGCCATTTCAGGCATTCATTCCATAATTGCCGACATCCATTCCTTATTCTTTGCTCTCCCATATTTGGGCATTATAAGTTTAGTGGTTCAGGGTTTAGGGTTTTCTGGATGAGGCGGCTGCCCTTGAGTTTCCGATCAGAGCATCAATCCCCGAATCCTAGCCTTCATAAATCCCAAAAATATGTGACTTGGATCAGCCCTGAAGTGCGCATGCCCCGCTTATGTGTGCCCTCAGGCAACCGCAAGTGGTCACTTATAGGAATGTTACTAGAATTATTATGTTGGTATTCTATAATTTTGGGTTCGAGTGCATCCAAGTTCAAGTTCCAATCGGAGAATGGCATTCTCTAAGCATTGGGCTCTAAACCGCTTTAAGCTGACCCTGATAATCCCTTTATTAAACCCGAAGCTCTACACCCTACACCCAAAACCCTAGACCCTGATAGCCTCCTAATCAAACCCTGAACCCCGCACCGCGCCTGCGCGAAGAGCGTCTTCTCAGGACGGCTATCGGCGGCAAAGCCTTTGCAAACACAGCCGGCGCTTACGCAAGAATTTCTCATAAGGGAGACCCCATGGATATACAAGGGTTTGGGGCTTAGGGACTTTGAGGGCAAGGGAACCGACATCTGGGATTCTCATGAGGGTCATCTTGAAAAACTTGCACTTGGGAATAAGGTTTTGGATAAGGATCTTTGGGGCTTGTGGGTGATGTCGTGAACTTGCGGGGTCCCGCATCTACTCCCAAAATGCAGGGATGGCATGTCATAGGGACAGAATAATGTCCGAGCCTCGGACAAAGCTCCAGTATATCCTAAACCCTATCAGCCATGAAAAGGTGAACTGCAAGATCAACCTGAACCCTAAAAACCAAGAACCCTGAACCCTAAACCCTAAACCCTGAACCCTAAACCCTAAACCCTGAACCCTAAACCTTACCCCTTAAGCGTAAACTTTAGGACCAAGGCCAGGAGCTTCGGACTCCTTGGGCCCTTTGGAGCCTTTAGAAAACCTGTGGGGAACTACTTTCAGGGCCAGGGGGACTCAGCGTGTAGGATAAACAAGAGTGGGGATTACGGGACGTTAGCCTTTCAACCCTAAGGGTTATCATATGGCTTATAGGGTGTTAGAGACATACAAAAGTCCCCTGACCGAAGGGATATCATATGGCTTATAGGTTCTTAGAAGTATGCAAAAGTCCTCTGACCAAGTTGGCCTCCCAATAGCTTGGCTTGAAAGGATTTTGCTTAGGTGGCCCCCCACCCACTAAGCGAAGAGAAATTGAATTAGAGAGGCGCGCTGCCATACTTACACCCTAAACCCTAAACCCTAAGATTGCACCAAGAGCATGTGAGCTCACCCTAGACACCTAAAACGCTTTCTAGATCCACGTGGAAGCCACACGAGAACAGGTATACTCAAGAATACCTGCTGGTGCTCCAGTGGGCGTGAGGGAGTTGATCCCCATTTCAATCTCAAATATAATAGTCCTTAGGTTTAAGGTTTAGGGCTTAG